GGTGTGCGAACGCGGTGATGTGCCGAGGTAGTCACGACGTCGCGTTCGTGATCGTGCAAGGAGCACGACTTTGACGACGGTGCAGTACCTATACAGCGCGTCACAAACGTACCAGTCGACCCAGCGTCTGATTTGGCGGCTTCCATGCACGGTGTTTTTAACACGGACTCGAACGTCGTGACTCAACGGTGCGCCTGCACGAGTCGGCGCAAGAGACGCCAACGTCACCCGTTGGACTCGCCGTCAACAAAGCATGACGCTGGAGCAAAGATACGCTCATGCCCGCGACGGGCGTCGCATCGTCGCCACGCGACTGTTAATTAGGACATATCCTCGTTTCAACGCCAGTCTCGATTCCATATCCGGTACACTCTTCGCAAGGGTTTATCCGGACGTTTTAGACCCAGTGGAATCAAGTCTCGGAGGTTTTGCATTTGCAACCGGCAAGACGCAGCGCGGCCTGAGACGACGACGCCCGTGGCCGCAGCATGACGCCATCCACCAAGCCAGAAGTGACGTCTACCGACGCGGCTAGCCGAAGCTACATGATCGGCTCGGCCGGCGGCGCCCAGCTCCAGGACATTTTGCGCACGGCTGCGCAGCCGGAGGAGGCCATCGTCTCCTTCCAGAAGCAGCATGGACTCAAGGAAGACACGGCCGCGTCGCTGCAGCTACTCGACTTGCTTGGCTGCCGGCGCTCCGAGACCCATCGTAGCCTTCTCGACGCGCTGCTGCAAACGCTTCTCGCGCGCATTCAACACAAGCACACGAGCGAGGCGCAGCTGCTCAAGCTGCTCGAGACCACGTTCCCGTACCTCGAGTACAAGGAGCTGCGGTGCATCCCGATCGCGATCATGGCGGCGCAGAGCTCGACGCCGTCGCTGTACCTCAAGGAGATGTGCGACCCGGACCACCGGCATCTGCTCGAGCACCTCCCAATGCACGTCAAGCGCCGCCTCTGGAGCATCGCGCCGCACGAACTGCGGCTCGAGATGGACAAGGTCGTTGGCCAGTACCTCGACCACAAGCGATCGCTGCTCCTCGAGGCGTCGAGCCCCTTTGACTTGCACGCCCACCACGCGCTCTCGCCCGAAGACAGGCGGAAGCAAGACCCGGTGCTCGCAACGCTTGTCAACATGATTGGCGACTCGGCCGAGCTCTACCTGCAGTGCGTCGACATTCTACGGTCCATCATCGCGTCTGGGGTACTCCCGGGGCACACGTCGTCGCTCGAGTCACCGAAAGAGTACACGTACCTCGCGTCCCTGCTCGGGACGCTGCGCAGCGACATGGCCAACGTCCAGCGCGACCACGCGACGACGCTCGTGCGCACCGACCCACTGCATAAGTTCCTTTGGTTCCTCGACCACGCGGTCAAGACCAACCACATGGACGCGGCGCAGCTGCTCGAGATGCTTCTCGTGCTCCGCAAGCTCCGGCTGCGCGATGCCAAGCCGTCGGCGACCGCGATTGCATCGGCGCCGCCGCCGCCCAAGGAAACGCTCCTCAAGCTCATTGACCAAATGACCAAGTCGGACAGCCGCCGCATCTTTGCCGACCCGGTGCCAGACGACGTGCCCAACTACCACACGATCATTGCGTCGCCGATGGATCTGAGCACGCTGCGGCAGAACGTCCATGCGGCCCTCTACAGCTCGCTCGCCTCGTTTGCCAAGGACGTCAACCTCATCTGGACCAACTGCATGACGTTCAACGAAGAAGGTACGATCTACCACAGAGAGGCCAAGCGGCTTGAGAAGCTCAGCGCTGGCTGGATCGACAAGGCGCGCGTCGCACTGGAAGCCGAGAAGGCACCGCCGTGCCTCCTCGCGACAGCTGGCGCCCTCTCGGCAAAAGACGCCAACGACACGGAGCGCTCGGGCATGGTGTTTGAAGGTGAGTGCGACCCGCTCCTTGCCGACGTGGCCATCGTGCTCTCGGACCCGATCGTCAAGCGGCTCTTGCACCACGTACTGTGGCTCCAGCTGCGGTCGGTCTCGGCCCGGCACATCTTCCCGACCGACGACGTTGTCTGCCGCGGCCTCGTGCAGCTACTGCATGTGGGCAACATTGGCTCGGTGCGCCGCATGGTGCGCAAGCAAGACTACCTCCTGCGGTCGCCGCCCGTGCTCGTGCTCCGCCTCTGCCTCCCGCTCATGCTGCGCGCGCAGCTCTCGAGTGCCCACATGCCCCACCAAACGCTCGCCCTCTTTGACGAGAGCTGGTCGACCGTATGGGCCAATGGCACGTGTCTCAAAGCCCTTGGCCGCCAGTTTTTCCTGACGCTGCTGCACGACGGAGCGCTGAGTGCGGCCCACGCGCTCCTCAAGACGACCGAGACTGCCACCGAGAAGGACGAGGCGTGGACTCGGGATCTTGTGTTCCTGTCGAGCGTCGTGCACGCACTGCTGCTGCCCAAGCATCTCAAAAACAAGGAAGGACATTGGAAGACACTGGTGCACAGCCTGTTCGAGACACTGTGGCTGCCCGCCGTGCGCCTCGAGCAAGGCAAGGCGTACATGGACGCCGACGACGTTGTCGTGCTTCCGCTCCTGCCTCTCCACGCACAGATGGCGCGCCTCTTGGTCGCCGTGGCCGACGACAAAGAGTCGACGATGATTGCTTTTGCGACCGCGGCGCTGCACGGCTTGACGTCCGAGACCGTGCCACTCGCCGTTGTCGCGGCCAGCGCCACGTTTGCATCGCTACGCCCTTTCTACCGCAAGCTACAGCTCAAGCATCCCGAGCTCGCCAAGGACGTGACGTTCGACGACGATGTGTAGCTGCGTAATAGATGCACGTCCTTTGAGTATTATCCACGCGCAAGTTCTACGTGCTGACGACCAGACACAACCTCCGCGCTCGTCGTTATCACCGGCTGTTGCCACCGAGGACCGTTGTTGCGGCTTGTTGCCGCCATGGTGCCAGGGCAGCGTAGCCATTGCTGGCAGCTCATTCTGCGAGGCTGTGCTCCCAGCGCATCCTGCGAGCTCGACGGCGCGATCCGTGCAGCAGAGGCATGCCTCGTAGTATGGGGCCGCGTGGCGCGTTGCTACACGGTATCCGGAATTGGCACGGTATCCGGCAGTGCAATTTCAGGGGCCAAGTCAGTTGACGACGACGACGACGCACGAGACGAGCATGTCGATCTCGCAGTTCTACATCCTCAGCAGCCGCGGCGACACGGTGCTCGCCAACGACTTTCGCGGCGATATCCCGTCCGACAGCAGCGAGATCTTCTTCCGCAAGGTCAAGTTCTGGGACAAGGGCGACGCGCCGCCGGCCTTCCACGTCGATGGCGTCAACTATTTGTACGTCAAGAAGAATGGCCTCTACTTTGTGGCGACGACGCGCTTCAATGTGTCGCCAGCGTACATCCTCGAGCTCCTCACGCGCCTCTGCCGCGTCTTCAAGGACTACTGCGGCGTGCTCTCGGAAGAGACATTGCGCAAGAACTTTATCTTGTGCTACGAGCTCTTGGACGAGACGCTCGACTTTGGCTTTGCGCAGGACACGAGCACCGAAGGGCTCAAGGTGCATGTGCACAACGAAGCCATCTTGGTGGGCGAGGCCGCGCTCGCGAAGGAGCAAAAGTTCAACTCGATGATGAACCGCCACTCGAACATCAAGGCCGCCAACGCGGTCCGGAAGCCTGTCGCGAACGGCCAGCAGACCAACAAGAAGAGTGAGAACGAGCTTTTCTGTGACATTCTCGAGCGCCTCAACGTGGTCTTCTCGTCGAGCGGCCAAATGCTCAACGCGAGCATTGAAGGCAAGATCCAGATGAAGTCGTACCTCCAGGGCAACCCGGAGCTCCGGCTCGCGCTCAACGAAGACCTCGTCATTGGCGCCGGCAACCACCGCCCGTTTGGCAACACATACAACCAGGTGATCCTGGACGACTGCAACTTTCACGAGTGCGTCCAGCTCGACGAGTTTGAGCGCGACCGCGTGCTGACGTTTACGCCGCCCGATGGCGAGTTTACGGTATGTTGTATCAACTTGATACGATTGCGCACCGGTTCTCTAGGTCATGAACTACCGCTTGACGGGCGAGTTCCGGTCGCCGTTCAAGATCTTCCCGTACGTTGAAGAAGTGTCGCCGACCAAGATCGAGATGGTCGTCAAGGTCCGCGCCGACATGCCCGACACCAACTACGGCGCCAACGTCATCATCCGGTTTCCAGTGCCGTCGTCGACGGTCAGCGTGTCGTGCGACCTTGGCAACAACGGCGCGGGCCAGCTCGCGGAATTCCGCGAAAATGAAAACCAAGTGCGCTGGGCCATCAAGCGCTTCAACGGCACGGCCGAGTTTACACTCCGCGCCAAGATTACGCTCAAGGAGCCCAACCCGCACGTGCGCCGCGAGATTGGCCCGATCTCGATGAACTTTGAGATTCCCATGTACAACGTCTCGACGCTCCAAGTGCGCTACCTCCGCATCCCCGAGCACGCCCGGCACCCGAATTATGTATACAAGCGCTGGCTCCGCTACGTGACGCAGTCCAACTCGTATGTCTGCCGCGTCTAAGGTGGGACGAGAAAAATTGCAAGTCATTTTGCCACGTTGTACTCGACTCTTTTGTGTTGTTGTTGGAAAAGGAGTGTTGAAGACAAAGGTGAGACAAGGTAGTGGCATTGGGATTGGGCTACTTGTGGCAATATCACGAGCTCGTCGAGGCACTCCGATCGATTTGCAGGTTTCTGGGCTGGTGAAATGGGCGCATTCCATTGGCTGACGTATATCAAGCGCTTTCTAACACTCCATTCTTTCGTACACGATTTGCACACGTTGTCGACGTCCAATGACGACGCGAGTGCGAGCGCTCTGCTCACCAAAGTGTCTTTTATCATTTAGCAATGCTGATGCGCGAGCGTAAAAAAACTGAATGGCGGTCCTCGCCGCCCCTTCGATCGCGTGCGGCCGGCGACGCGTCGCCTCTGATTGGTCAAAAAGAATTCGAGCGGACCAATCCGATCGCTTCACAACGCTATCTTGGTGTGAGTGCCGTTTCCAAGTTTCCAGGCTCGTGAGGCAATCCTCCTACTACACCTACAGACACGCCCCCTCCCAGGAATGCAGTGACCGAGCGAGATCTTCCTCACTGCAGGAAGCTCGGACATCCGTAGTACCCTCAATGCTACGTCTCTGGTCTCGGGGTAAAACATCCAGTACCTTACATCAAGCCTTGCTTACATCGTTGGACGTACAGCGTACGTTATTCGCATCTTCTGCACTCGACAGCTTTACGACCAAATGTGTGTGTGACAGCAAGCGACGGGAGAGTCGCTCGCTGGCGGCGCATGTCTCGGCGACTGCGTGACTGGAATCGATCACGCCAATCGCCAATCCCAGACACAGTGTCCACAAGCAAAGGCTACGAGCGATACCATATGCATGGACAACAGCAGGTCTATATTCTGGAAAACGTCCGCCGCCGTCTGGTCCACACAAACGGGGCCACTCAGCAAGCCATATTTAGAAAAACACCATTCCCTCATGACGTGGGTCTGCTGTTCCTTTGACCAACTCTCGGCGTCGACCTTGTACGACATTCTACACCTGCGCTGTCAAATCTTTGTCGTCGGTCAAAAGAGCGCGTACTTGGATCTCGACCACGTCGACAAGCGCTGTCTGCACCTCTTCAACGTCTCGGAGAAGGGCAATGTCGTCGCCTACGCGCGGCTCCTCGGGCCAGGCGCCAAACACGACTCGCAGCGGCGACCGATGATCGGACGCGTCCTCACGGCGCCCGATGCGCGCGGCAAAGGCCTCGGGAAGGCGCTCGTCCGGCGCGCGATCGACGAGTGCAGTGCACGGTGGCCTCGTGACGCGATTGAGATCGGCGCGCAGTCGTATTTGCGATCGTTTTACGAAGATTTTGGCTTTCGCGTCACGTCAGCGCCGTACATGCACTATACCGTCGAGCACATGGACATGGTCCGCGATGTTTCGGCCGAGTAGATGCGAAACGCAATCATATTCCATTCTCACGTGAATATTTAAGAAAATCGCTTGGCGGCTTATGCACTACTCTCACACTCAAGCTCTGTGGTATCGAGTTTTGTTGGATAAAGATTGCACGACTTGAAAATCTACTATTATGCTGGATAGAGTGGTGAATATATTGTGCTAAGGGAACGTTATCGCATACTCGTAGCCTTGACGAGCTTGTGCTGATGATGACGTTTGACGTTTGGATCGCGTTTCTGAAATGGGCGCATCCCATTGGATAACATATATCAAGCGCTTCTTAACGTTTGGTTTCTTTCGCGCTCGACTTGGACGCGTTGTCGACCTCCAACGGCGACACCAGTAAGCGCGCTCTGCTCACCAAAGTGATTTCTACCATTCTACATCGTTGATGCGCGTGCACCAAAAAACGTGATGGTGGCAACTCCGCCGCTTGGATCGCGTGGGAGGCCAGTGCTTGTTGCCTCTGATTGGACAAAAATAAAATTGGGCGGACCAATCCGATCGCTTCAACCTCCGATGGCGCTCTCCAGTGCATCGACGATCCAAGGTGTGGGCGATCACATAGCTAGCAAGAGCGACTTTCGCGCACTCGTGACCGAATCGTCTCCGGCTGCCTGCCTCGTCAGCACCACATCATGAGCTGAGACACTGGACCATCCTAAATCTGCGAGTGACGGCAAGTACACTACTTCAAACACACAAGCATGTCCACAAGCAAAGCAAATGCATGTTGAGTGGTTGTATACAGGCTCTGGGTCGTCTCCATCGTCTAGTCGACCTTGATGGACGCGTAAATCTTCTTGTTGAACCAAAGCGACGCCATGACGCCAATCGTGCCCGTGAGGAGCGAGAGCGCGCCCGAGATGATGCCCATGTAGCCAAAGTAGAGCATCGCGCCAATGATGTTGTTGACGTCGAGCCGCGTCCAGTAGTAGTAGGTCGAGTAGAGCATGACGTAGCCGCCGCACGCGCCCGAGACGATGAACGACCGCCACCACCAGTTGTAGTCTTCGCCGCAGAGCTGAAAGTACGTGAGCACGATCGTGATTTCCGCGCACGTGCCAATCAAAATCACAAACGAGAGCAGGAGAAAGCCAAAGACGTAGTAGTACTTGTCGGTCCAGAGCGATGTGAGCACAAAGAAGAGCTCGACAAAGATCGCGCCAAACGGAAGGATCCCGCCGACCGCCGCCGTCATGACGTTGGTCATGTACCAAGGCTGGAGCGGGATCGGGCGCGGAATGTTGCTGGTCGCGACGGGAAACTCGACCGTGGGCTGGCGGAACCCATAGTACGCCCCGAGGAAGACGAGCGGCACCGAGATACCAAACCAGAGAAAGACCACGAGCAGCATCGAGCCAAAGGGCACGGCCGCGTCCGAGCCCGCGCCCCACACAAAGAGGTTGAGCACAAAAAAGGTCGCAAACATAATGCCGGGGAAGAGCGTGCCGGTCAGGACAGTGCTGAGCTGCCAGCGCTTGCCCTTGAACATCTTGTACATGCGCGACGAAGCATAGCCCGCGACCATGCCCATGAGCACAAAGCAGACGAGGAGCGCAATGATCATCTTGCCGCGGTTCGACGGCGCGAGGAACCCGATGGCCGCAAAGAGCAGCGTCACGAGCGTCATCCCGAGAAGCTGGAAGCCGACACCGACCATGACGCAGAACAGCATTGGCTGCGTCGTCGGCGGGCGAAACACGTCGGCGTGCACAAGCTTCCAGCCCGACTCTTCGCGCTCTTCCATGCGCTCTTCTTCGGTGGGCACGCGGTTGTAGCGCGAGATGTCGCGGTGCAAGCTGCGCATGAGGATCATGCCGACCATGCCCGAGAGGAAGAGCACGATGAGGAGCGCGTTGATGATCGAGAACCAATGCACCTCGTCGCTGCCCGAGCCGACCTCAAAGTAAATGTCCCAGCGCGTGCGCCATTCGCGCGTATTGTCTTCGTTCCACTCGACGCTGTACGTCCAGTAGACCGTCGTCGACTTGGCGTCCTTGGCGTCCTTGCTCTCGTCGTCCTTGGGGTTGGGAAGGTACAGCTCGGGGTGCTCCTTTGTCGACGGGCTGCAAATGTCCATGCGCAACGGCTTCGAGTCCTTGACGGTAAACGCCTCCTTGTAGTCGTAGCTGTACGGGATGACCTCAAAGTCGACGATGCGGCCTTGGTTGGGCGACGGCCCCGACGTCATGTCGACCATGTTGTTGTAGCTGATGCGAATCGTCACGTGGTTGTTGAGGCGCGGCGCCAAATCAAACTCCTTGTTGAACGTGCCGAGCGGGAAGCCGAGCTCGGTCATGTCGTCGCGCTTGGACGAGACTGGGAGGTTGTCGACGATCCAGTTCATGCGGTACTGCTCCTTGATCATGGTCGCAAACTTCTTGATTTGCTTCTTCGTGTACGACTCGGTGCAGAGGACCTGGCACTGCTTGTTCTCGAGGAAGCGCAGCTCGTACGGCGAGTTCTCGATGCGGTTGGCGCTCAAGTACTCGCCGAGGTTCTCGCTCTTGTACTCGACCTTGGCCGGCGAGCAGAACGGGAGGTTGTAGTACTCGATCGGCAGCAGCGTCTCACGCGACGTGAGCGAGTTGACAAAGAGAGGGATCACGTCGCCGCGCTCGTACGTGATCATCTGCACACCCGGGAGGTAGAAGGCTTCGGCGACGGTCGCCGCCAGCGCCAGCACCACGCGCACCCACATGCTGCCAATTTCGAAAGTCCCGACCCTCTACAAGTCAATATGGGCCCTCACACGTGAAAAACTACATTTCACACGTGGCTTGCCACCTTGGTGCGGCGATTCGCGCCACCACCGACCGACGCGTTGTTGGACGCAGAGCTACCAAGGGCTTTTCGAAGCACAGATAACACGGCCGTAGAGAAGGCGCAAGCATCCACACCTCTTCGACGGCGGAGGCCAGGAACAACAGGTGGCATCGTCCAGCTTGATGGCCCGATGCGGACGAAGGCTACCAGTGCAGGCAGCACACGGGTGCCTGGAGCGACGGTGCAAAATAATGTCTGATCCAAGTAGTGACACCTACGGATGCGGTTGATGGGCACGGCACCAAGTAACTGCGACGCACAGTGGGAGCGCTCTTTTTGCATTGACGTTAGCAGCTCTTGTCGCCCGGTTGGGTGGCACTTGAACTGGGTTGCTGACGTTTGGGTCGATGCTTACGACATTGGTAGCCGCTGCTGTGCTGCTAACGTGCATAGACTGTGTCAAACGACGAAGCAGCACCCACGGGATCTGAGCCAACGCCCTAATACCACCCTGCGTCTGCATGATTGGTTTCTAGAAACGTCCAATCGACTACCTAGGACGACAAGCGACGTCGGGCGTGGACGCGCACTGCCCGGGACGCTGGTGGCGCGAGCCAAAGCAGTCACGCACCACGCGCGACAGGTGCTCAGTGAGGTGGTGAATGTGTGTTTTACTGTATTTTTCACGCCACGTGGCCACGTGGAGCCGTTTCAGACCGGTGGCGAACGGTCAACCTCTGAAAATTTATATTCGGATCTGCCACCACCGCGATGGCAGATCGCAAGCCACCATGAGCCTCGCATGGCGTTCGCAGACGCTCTCGTCGCTCACGGCGACCGACATGTACAAGATCCTCCAGCTGCGAGCCAACGTTTTCATCGTGGAGCAGAACGGCGTCGTCTTGGACCCGGATGGGCTCGACCTGCTCGAGTCGTGCCACCACGTCATGGGCACGAACGCCGACGGCGCCATTATGGCCTACGCGCGTGTGCTTGGCCCTGGCACGAAAGGCCCAGCGCAAACAGTGCCCGTGATCGGCCGCGTCGTTGTCGCCAAGGCGGCCCGCGGGACGGGCCTCGGACGCCAGGTCATGCACGAAGCTGTCGCGGCCGCACAGCGCGCGTACCCTGGCCAAGGTTGCCAGCTCGGCGCGCAAGCGTACCTCGAAACGTTCTACAACAGCCTTGGCTTTGCGCGTCTTCCGGGCTCGGCGCCCTACGACGACCATGGCATTCCGCATATCGACATGAAGCGCGAGTAGTTGACCGTCTTGATTGTTGCTTCATAACAATGTTTTTTGCATCCATTATATATGAACGTGTTCCGCGTTATCTTCATTATGACACAAAGACTTCGCATACGTAGCGCTACGCCTGAATGCGTGGGAGTTGGCACTAGCACTTGGTCGTTGGGAGTGAGCTGCGTACGGAGAGATCCATCCCGTGGTGGACCCCACTCGCCGAGTCATAGCTCGCGCGAGGTCGTTTTGAGCTGAGGTTCCGACATAATTGCACCTAAGATTCTGAAATAACTTTAGACTTGGGACAGGCCAACTGCCGCAAGTCGGGATGCAAGAAAGAACGACCCAGTTTCAATTTTCCATCGAGAACGCTCGCACCATGGTGCGCCACCCGAAGGATCCGTTCAGGAGCCGGAAGTCGAAGCGTTGTCTTCTCTTAGTGGGCTGCCAAGAAAACTAGGACCCCGACGAGGACAAGGACGTCAGCAAGCGCAAGGGCAAGGGCAAGAAGGAAGGCCCGAAGAAGAATACGAACGAACTGACGTACCGGCGCTTTCTTTGGCTGAAGGAGTCGACATGCGCTGTTGTCAAGAACGGCAACCGACTCCAGTGGGGCGACGAGCTGGCGTTCACTCTCGTCATTCGCGACAAAGGGCTTGTCATTACGGACGTCGACGGTCCGCAAGCGAATGAATTGGGGCTACGCTCCGGCGACGTGCTCGAGTTCATTACCATGGCCGAGAAGGTCGCTCCGGACGCGATACTCAAGGTCTTGTCGGCGTGGATGGGAGGCTCTCTCCATCGCCATCGCCACGCCCGGCAACGAGATCAGCGAAGTCGCAAAAGGTCGGAGGTCAACCTGCAAGGGAAAAGCAGCCGTCGTCGCCACGGGACGGTACTGCAAAAGCGAAGCCCGCCTCAAGGTTGGCGATCTCCTACGCAAGTACAAGATGCGCAAGCGAGGTGCACACACCTGGTTCGACAAGGTCATCACGAAGAAGATTTTTCATCTGTGGTATCGTGAAGAGGACGACGAAAGCAACACCAAGACTACCAAGGCTCCCGATTACTTCTGCAGAGCCGTGCACCACGACGAATTTCCTGACCTCTACGCGGCTTGGCTGAAGTCGCCCGAGTGCAAGTGGATGTACGGACCCCTAGCCGGTTTTGAAGCGCAAGGCGCGCGAAGAACGTGCGCTTCAAAACCGGCTAGGGGTCCGTTGGGGAACATCCACTTGCACTCGGGCGACTTCAGCCGAGCCGCGTAGAGGTCAGGAAATTCGTCGTGGTGCACGGCTCTGCAGAAGTAATCGGGAGCCTTGGTAGTCTTGGTGTTGCTTTCGTCGTCCTCTTCACGATACCACAGATGAAAAATCTTCTTCGTGATGACCTTGTCGAACCAGGTGTGTGCACCTCGCTTGCGCATCTTGTACTTGCGTAGGAAGGCGCGCGAAGAACGCCCCAAGTCGGCATCGAAGCGCAAGGTGACCGCTGCGACACCGATCCAC